ATTGGCATAAGTACAAACTGGCATAAGTGCAAAGCATTTAAAAAAACTGGCATAAGTGCAAAGCAGTGACAAAAACTGGCGTGAATGCGAACTGGCATAAGTGCGAATCGACATAAGTGCGCTGAATCAAATTGCAAATAGTAACATAAGTGCAAATTGGCATTTCGCACTTATGCCAGTTCGAACTTATGTCAATGTTTGAAAATTTATTCAGCGCATTTATGCCAGTTCGCATTTATGCTGATTCGCACTTATGCCAGTTTTTGCAACTGCTTCACACTTAAGCCAGTTCCCACTTATGCCAATTTGTACTTATGCCAATGTTTGCAAATTTGTTGGGAGCACTTATGCCAGTTCGCACTTATGCACGTTTTTGCAACGCTTTGCACTTATGCCAGTTCAGTTGTCCCTTTACCATGGTAAAGGGGGCGACTGAATAAGCGCAAATTTCATAAGTGCGAACTGGCATAAGTGCTAATGGGCTAAGTGCAAACTTGAATAACTGCGAACTTACATAAGTGTGAAGCGTTGCAAAAACTAGCATATGTGCGAATAATAATGATAGCACTTACAATTTGATTTGCCAATTTTTGCCAAACTTATGCCAGTTTTTGTAACTGCTTCGCACTTATGCCAGTTCACACTTATGCCAATTCGCACTTATGCCAATGTTTGCAAATTTGTTCAGCGTACTTATGCTAATTTGCACTTATGTTTTTGTAACTGCTTCGCACTTATTTTCAATTGTGCCAATTTTTGAAAATTTGTTCAGCGTACTTATGCTAATTCGCACATATGCCAATCGTACTTATGCCAGTTTTTGCAACGCTTCACACTAATATCTGTTTGCACTTTGGAAATTCGCTCTTATTCAGCCAGTGGTAAAGAAGTTTTTTCTTTCATACATGAGCGCCTGCAGAATTTTTTGATGTTTTAGATATGAAATTTTCACATTTTGCAAACTCCAAACTTAAGTATGTTCATACCTATGCCAAATGAGGAGACCTTGCAAAAATTCAGGATGATGGAGGTTTGGGAGCAAAAAATCAAATACATTGGTTCCCCCCCCCCTATCCTTCCCTGACCAAACGTAAGGGCGGTAATGTTTAACTTTATTATCTTAACTAAATATAAATCATTGACAAATTTTAAATTTCATTCAAAAATATTGTAAATTACAAAAGTTATGACCATCCAAAATTTACAACCTCTTCATTTGGGGTTGTTTTTGTTTTGTTTTTTTTTAGAGGGGAGGGGGGTCGTTAGATTTGTAATCTTTGCGGATAATAATGATGGCTCAGGTTTGAAGTTATTTATATTTGTTGAATTTACCGCGTTTTGGGTTAAAATGTTTCATGGTTTAACTACACGGTTGGTACTAACCAAAATTTGAAAGCTAAAGTTATTTGAAGGCTGTATTTTCATCACAGAGCGGCCTGGCGTGCAGCTTCATCAATAATTTGTAAATTTTATTTACAAATTATTGATGAAGCTGCACGCCTTTACGTCGTTACGCTTAGAAGTACATTGTTACGTGCGATAGAAGTACATTATTACGCGCGATAGAAGTACGTTGTTGCGCTTGTTGTTAGAGATTTATTAAGTCATTTTTAAAGATACTTGTGTTTGTTTGTATGTCTATGCAGTTTATTGCGTTGATATTAATTAGTTTAAGCAACTGTATGCAATCAATTACAAAAAATGTAATGTAAATCCACTTCCTTCGCGCAACAACGGATTTATCAAAGACAAATCGTCCGTCTTTTGCTGTTTTTCGACCAGTTATGCTTTTTTCAGCTACAGATCCATCAAATTTACTAACTATTTTCGCTATGGATTTCATAATGCCGAAGAAGTGTGGAAAAACGATAACTTTATTTTCTAATTAAACATTTTTTTCTTTAACATATTTTTTTGCATTCATAATTTGTATACATTTGCCGTAATCAACAAAACTCCCTAGAACGTAATTGTGTACAAAAATAGCTCATGACATATTTACACTATTAAATTTATCAAATTTAATAGTGTAAATATCTTATGAGCTACTTTATTAAACTTAATTTATAATAACTTATTCAAACAAGCTACTCACGTTGTCAAACCCTGAAATGCTAAGAAAGTGTTTACATGAAATATGACACAAAACTACAATGAGTCATTTAACGGTTTGATATAGGAACGATACCTAAAGACAAGATACATAAAGAAAATCGTGAAATAACTGTTTTCTCTTCAATTTTAAATTACAACGATGAATATTTAATTTTTAAATTGCATTTTCGGCAAGCTTTTATTTTGAAAAAGAAAATCTTAAAAAAGATCAAAAGTGCTTATCTATAAAAAAAAAAAAGTTATTTAGAAATTGAGAAGGAAAATGATGATGCAAACTTTTAAGAAATTTTCTATAAAAAAAAAGTTTTTTCGCTTTTAATTTTTTAACGTGTTTTCAAAACTTTCAAACTTTATGTTTAAAAATCTTCTATTTTATTGAAGCAATTTTTAGGCAATAAACCAATATCTACCATTTTAGATTTACATAACTTTTGAAAAAGGTTTTTCGTCCTGAAGCAACTATTTTTCTACTATTTAGAAAAATATGGTGTACTTCTTATTATATAAAAAATTAATAGCTTTGAAATAATATATATATATATATATAAAGTTAGATTTAATGGGGATGTACTTCCTTAAGTGTCCCTTAACGACACGTTCTTCCTAATTATATTTACAAGTTCCTAACAAAATAATTATAGATCTTAGTTTTTAATAATATTTCCTTTTTAAAAAATGTTTATAAAGCAAATGAGTAAGATATTAGATTTTTTCTGCCATTTTAAATTGTTTTGAAAAAAATATTGTGAAATAATTTAACACAGTACTCAGCGTAGTTTAAGGAGAAATCCGAACGATTTGCATTTCTTAAAAATGAAAATTAACGTTTTTAAACTTCAACTTTTTGTGTTTTTGGCTTATTTTTGACTATTGCTGCTATATATTTTTAAAAAAGTAGAATTTAAGCTTTTCTTATATAATTTATTTTTTTTTTATATAATTTTTTTTCAACCAAAGTATCAAACAAAACAAAACTACCACTAAAATACATAAAACGCATCGGGGCAGCGTCATAAAAACAGTCGAATTAAGTGTGTTAAGTATTTACATTCCAAAAATGTCTCTTTTATTCGAAAGTCTCCTTATTTACAGCATTAAAATATTCAATATAGAGCTAAAAAGGTAATATTTTATTATTCTGTAAACAGTAAAAACGTAAAAATCGAAGTTATTGCATTATTTTTCACTCATAGCAATTTACTTCTATAATCTCTTTATGGTCGTTTGAATAAATTACCAAAAAAAAAACGTTTCAGTTTTTATATAACTTCTGCCCCAAAGTATTAGGCTAAAACTTGAAACTCGTAGATAATAAAATCACCGAATATCACCGAATATTTGTAAACAAAATAATACAATAAGCTTAGAGATTTAAAAAAAAAAATAAACCAATCAGAACGCATACAAAATTAAAGAGCATTTTTTGAAAACGGAAGGGCCTAAACTCGATATTTTTCTTGGGATCGCTCTTTAACTACGTTGAGTAAATCTAAAACTTTTTAAAAATTATTTAAATAAAGCGAAATTATCAAAATGGTAGGACTTACCATGACCAGTAATATATTAAAATTCAGTAATAATTATACGGGTTATGCTAAGTCCGTTCCGTTGATTATTCCACATATTTAAGTCATTTCATGTTTTTTGAAACTTTTTATACCAATGGCATTGAATTAACACATTTCAAGCGGGTATTCTAAATATTATTTAGACTGATATCCAATTTGTTGATAAATAGTGATTCGCGCAACGTCTACCGAAACGTTTTATAGTTTTTATATATGTATTACTAAAATGAAGTAAGAAATATTCTAAAATATATTGAAGTAAGGAATAAGTATAGAAAAGGTCGGTGTGGAATAGATTTACCAAGACCCGTATTTATGACCCGTATTTTACGGGTCATGACAGCTAGTTTTAAATGACATCATTAATTTTTTCCATTTAACAAATATAATCTCTTTGTTTTGAAACAAAAACAATGTCATTCAAAGTAAATTGAATTACCTGACTTAATTGCGCGCGGTCAAAGTCAGCCTTCATCTGATTAGACGAGCGTACTTTGTATTCAACTAACGTGTTATATCGTAACTATCGTAATGTATCGTAACTATAGTATTTAACAGACTAGTAGACGGGGGTAACTAAAGGTGGTGTTAAAAAATAATTTGCTTGTTACACCAAACAATTTTTTTTAAAAAAAAAGCAATTGTATTTAGAAACTTTAATTAAAAGCAAAGATATTATATTTTTTGTCATACTGTTACAATATTAGTTTGCAAATTATATTTATTGGTTTTTAATAGATTTTATTCGCAGTAGTAAACAATTTTTTTCATCCAAAACTTTTTTCTCCAAAGAATATAGAATTATAAAGTTTTTTCATTGTAAAAGTTTTCTCTTTTAAACAGAAAACGAAGTTCTCTAGTTTGACTTAAAAAGCGCAATTAAGCCAAACGAAATCAGTTTTATTTACAGATTTATAACAGTTTTTTGTGTATGACTTTTGTTGTTGTTGTTGCAGTTCTAAGTCAATGCGCGTCTCTTTGATTTAACATTACATTTTTTTACTGATTAACAATAAAATTATATAATCCCTTTAAAACATAGTGTTCTTTAGAAAATTCTTTATTGCAAACTTTTTTTTTTTTGTAAAGGGATATGCTAGTGTTTGGAGGGATGGGGTAGCACAACCATACCCAATTTTATTAAATAAAGTATATATAATAAGGTATGCATTTCAAAACATAAATTATGCCATGTCAAGACATAAAGTATATTGTAAAAGTGCTAGAAGAATCTCTGATCTTTTTATTATCTACTTACATTTTTATGGAAAAAAAATCTTAAAGAATTGAACTTTGCATTTTAAGTAATTTAGTTACCTGTGTCACAATAGAGTATGAATTTGGTTTCGAGTACTTCCATGAAGATCGATTTAATTTACACCGTTTATCGTTATCTGCCAAAAACAAATTTGTACTATTGCATTCTTGACTAATTCCAGTGCATTGCCATTTAGGAGAATCTGCCAAAAATACTATATTAAAAGCCTGAAATGCTGGAGGCATGTAAAGTAAACTGAAAAGTATAAGAACAAAAATTTGGAATTTGCCAATCTGACCAATTTGTTCTAAAACCTCGTCGATCGTGATCCATTGGTTATTTTCATGTTGCAAAGATTTTTGAACGTTTATCTCGGGAATCTTTTCCATTTTTTACTGGTTATATTCGATCAAATGAATTTCATACTCACGCTCTGTGTAAAAACAACAATTAAATATAAATTTGTATTCTGGAACTTATTTTTGACAAATGTTAAAAAATTATTACCAAAACAACTTTTTAAAGTCAACATTTATTTTAACTTCAAAAAAAGTAAACAAAACTTTTTTTTCTTTTTTCTTTTACCTTTAATTATTGTTGCTTTTACCATTTATTTTCTTTATTAAATAATCGAATTTCGAATACTTTATTCATCTCTTGTTTAATTGGTTTGGCAAACTTTTTATTAATTCTACCGAAAAAAAAACTTTTAACTTAAAATATTTTTTTATTAAGATACTTTTAACCTTACGTCACAAGATTAAACAATGTTATATGTTTTTTGCTTTTTGTTTTTATGTTATGCCACTACCTAACTTATAGTCTATATTTATTTAGATTAAAAGTCCCGCCAAAAAAAAAAGAGCAGCTAGTTTTTAAATTTACTGCGTAATTCAAAATTCTACACTTAATTTTTTATTTTAAAACTTTATAAACACGTCGAACTTTTTTTATTTCCATTGTATTTAACAAACAACAAATGAATAGAAACATACTTAATTTTTATTTTGTATTTAACCGATTTAACTTTTTTTGAATAATATTTTTTGTACAATGCACAACGCGCACGAACGCTAAATTATTTATTTTGATAGATAAAAAATCGTAACAAATTAAACAACTTATGTTATGTCTTTGCACTTTTAAGTTGAGTCTTTACGCTATTTTTTATCGCTTTTAGGATATTTACTGAAAACTCAACTAATAACGGTAAAAGTCAGACTTTCACACTTTAAGCTAACAAAGTAAATAAATTAAAAGCAATATATATATATATATATATATATATATATATATATATATATATATATATATATATATATATATATATATATATATATATATATATATATATATATTGCTTTTAATTTATTTAACATGTACAATGAAAAAAATGAAAAAAACCTTTGCAATGACATCGCAAATGGAGGATGTTTTTATTTAACGGTAAAAAAGGAAAGAAAAAAAAAATCAAAATACCATTTTAAAAAATATCAAATTATAAAACAAAATGAAGTAAAAACAAGATCAAAAGATGTAAACAAATAAAGATAAAAAGCAAGTTTAAATAACGTACCAAACCGAAAAAAAAGATTTGGTAAAAGAAAAAATAGTTCGAAAATGTAAAGTAAAAAAAAAAAAAAAAAAAAATACGAAATGAATTACGTTAGTCTACTAGAAACAATAACGTCATCAAAAGAAAAGAACAAGAAAAAACTTTTAAATTTTGTTTAGCGAACACATTGTTTATATTGATGTTTATTTTTATTGTTATATTTATATTTCATGTATGCATTTAATGCCTTTTTTACTTTTATTAACCTTAGTTTTATGTATAATAAAAGTTTTTCTGTTTATATTTTCTTTATTTGTTTATTATACTTACAATATATTTTTGTTATTATATTATAAAAACTAAAATTATTATATTTATCGAGTCTTTGTATTCTTTTATCGATAATCGTTTTTATGTCATCGTTATTAGTTACGTTTTGTCAGTTTATTACTGTTTGTAACTGTAACTATGTATATATAATTGATTGTTGTATGGAAGATTGTGTTGATTTAACTCTTTTAGTTACTGGTTTTTATAATTTTTGTTGACGTATTTAATGAACAGCCTTCTATTAAATATTAATTTAACAATTCCGTTATATATGTATTGTATTTATTATTATCAATTTTTTATTTCATTCATTATTATTGGGTGTTAATTATACATACTGGTGATATTATTATTGTTATTCTTATTATTATACAATTAATTATTTTTATTATTGTTGTTTTGTTAATTTATTGCTATTTTTATTATAACTATAACTATGTGTCTATAATATGTTTTATATTCATCAAAGAGGTTTTTACTTTATATTAGTTTTATAACTATTTGTAATGACCGTGGAAGTTAGATCTTTTTTCCAGAATATATAATTGATTGACTGATATATATATATATATATATATATACAGGCGCGGATCTAAGGGGTGGCCATTGTGGCCATGGCCACATAGTTTAAAGCCAGATTGATTTATTAAAAAAAAATTATTTAATGCTTATCAAAAGTCTTTTAGATTTAGATATAATTATTAAGATATTTTTAATTATATGTAATTGAAAACGATTTTAGGACTTGCGTATCATTTTTCGTCGTTGATAAACTACGTCACGCTAAATTTAAATTTTAAAAACGCTGTAAACATCCGCTATATTATTTCAAAATTCTCTGCAATAGAGAGTAAATAATACTTATAAACTCTGCGTGACGTACTTTATGGATAACCCTTATCGGGTTATGGCCATAGAGATAAAATTTAACGGCAGCCAACTTAGCTTTGGGTTTCTTTGCTAGCGTGATATTCCTCAAAATTTCATTACGTCTGCCGTAATTTACGTAATTTGGCCATAGAGATTCCTGCCATGGCCACAACGGCTCCTATTATACGTTACCGACCTTTTATTCAATCGATAAATGCTATCAAATAAATAATAAAATATAGATCTTTCAACCGTGAAAATTAAACTTGGCCACACAGTTAGTTTTGACGTGTCCGATTTAGAAAAATGTTCTCTTATATAGTAGCTAACTAATTTGGGTTTTTTATTCGTTACCGTAACATTTTCATTAAAATCGTCTTTAGAAACTAAAATAGCGTGACTTTAATAACTTGATTTTTTTAAATTTATATAATATGAATCCATATTTAACTGAAGAACTAGTTGCTTGTGCAATAGAAACAAAGCATAGGCCTAATGTCTTAAATTACAAAACTAGACTCATTAAAGAGCTTTCGGAAATAAATTTAATGTTTCCAAGAATACACGATTCTTACCAATTTAACACAGATATGATGGATTTTGTACCCTTAAGTAAAAAAAATCTTGGTTATTCAGCATTGAGGTATTTTTTGTTTGTTTTGAGTTTTATGAAAGTATTATTTAATTAAAATAATATCACAAATTGGATCTAGATGTAAGATCAATGTTAGATTTTAATTTTATTTATTGGTATTTTAACACCAATAGAATAAAAATATGTGTTAATAATTAGTTAAACGTTTAACTAATTATTAACACAGATTTATATTCTTGATAATGTGTATGAAAATAAATTATTTATTAAACATACAAATAACCTAAAAAAAGTGATTTAGTTTTTTAATAAGAAATTATGGTATATACTAAAATGTAATATTAGTAAAAAAATATATATTTATAGTTGAACTTTTTATTTTTTTGTTATTGATATTACATTTTAGTATATTATACTCATTATTATATTTTAATATATTTTACTATTTTTCTCAGATCTACTGAAGATGGAAATTGTCTTTATAGTTCAGTATCTTTGATTTTAAATGACAATAATCATACTTCAAAAATTCTAAGATTACTGACATCAATTGAGTTATTTGAAAACATAAATTTTTACACAAGGTATGATTATTTTTGTAGTTATTTTAATCAACATAGATCTGAATATTCTCAGCTTTCTAATTTGTTTTTTATTGCTGTTTCGTTTAAATGCTCTGACAGTTTTTCAACAATTAATGATAATATGATTTCTGAACTTCTGTTAAAAGAAGCGTATTTAAATTGCTTTGATAAAACATTTTTATCTTTCATTTGTCTAATAGCATTATCTAATGTTATAAAGCAACCTATTGAATCTATTTATCCTGAAATCGGTTTTAAAAAGTATCATAGTTTTTTTAATACTCTTATAAAGCCTCGCATCCAAAAATTAAATTGTCCAATAAATATTTTGTGGTGCAATTTAGATAAAACAAAAAACCAAAGTATTTTATGTTTTAAGCCAAATCATTTTGTGGCACTGGTTAAAGATCTTTCTAAAAAACGTCCAGCTGTTGTTATGAGTGATCCAAGTTTACTTAGCATCAAAAAAATAAAAGTTTCTAAGTCTAGTTTTCCACCTACAGATAACAAAATACAGAAACCAATTCAGTCTAAATTATTTTTCCCTACTGTTTCTAAAAACACTTCAGATATAGATAAGTCTAGTTTTTGTAATAAAATAGTAAAAACTGAAGTAGTTATCTCAAAAAACGCCAACAACAATGATAAAAAGCAAATGAATCTTGAATCTTATGTTCCACAAAAGGAAAGCAATATTGTTGACATTAGTTTATTAAATACAAATCAGCTAGCATCTTATTCAAACTATGATGTTTCATCATACTGTCTACAAGGTGAAAAATTAAAATCAGGAACAAATGATCATGAACTTTTATCTCTAATTAATAATGTCTGGGTTCCGGATAAATGTTTCCAATTCCCTTTAACAGGTAAAAGCAGAAAAAGACGTTTTTTGCTAAAATGGCTAGATGATTTTTCTTGGCTTTGTTACTCTAAAATTGAAGATGGTGCATATTGTCTTCCATGTACACTTTTTGGTACAAATTTACCAAACAAATATGCATTATGTAAATTGTTTAAAGAACCATTTAATACCTGGCGTAATGCTGTAAAAGTTTTCAACGATCATGAGAAAACTGTTGACGGATTACACATCAAGTCCATGCATTGTTATAATATGCTTTTATCTAGAGCTAAAAATAATTCTTTTCCTATTGAAGTTTCTTTAGATAGTTCTAGGAAACAGCGTATAGAAGAAAACAAAAAAAAGCTTGAATCAATTGTTAAGACTATAATATTTTTAGGTCGAAGTGATATGCCTCTACGAGGTCATAGAGACGATAGAAAATATCAAGGAGAAATTGGAGAATCTTCAAAAAATACAGGGCTAGGTAATTTCATTGAGCTTTTAAATTTTAGGGTTGATGCAGGTGATTTAATTTTAAAGGAGCATCTTCTCTCTGCCCCCAAAAATTCCACATATATTTCAAAGACCATTCAAAACGAGTTAATTGAGTGTTGTGGAAATGCAATTGAAGAAGTTTTATTAAATGATATTAAAAAAAGTAAGTACTTTTCCATTATTGCAGACGAGGCTTCAGACTGTGCAACAATAGAACAACTTTCTATTGTCATACGTTATGTTGACTTGAACAGTAATATTAAGGAAGTTTTTTTATGCTTTTTTGAATGTAAAACAGGTACAAGTGGTTTAAGCATAGCTACCAATATTCTTGAAACTTTAAAAGAATTTGGTTTAGATATAAGAAAATGCAGAGGCCAGTCTTATGACGGAGCTGCTTCAATGTCAGGTGAATACAAAGGTGTTTCATCTGTTATAAAAAATGTTAATCCTAAGGCATTATTTGTCCACTGTGCCTCACATAAACTTAGTTTAGT